ACTACGACTACGACTACGACTACGACTACTACTACTACGACTACTACGACTACTACGACTACTACGACTACTACTACTACTACTACTACTACTACCACTGCTGCTGCTACTACTGCTGCTGCTACTACTGCTGCTACTTGTTAGTTCTACACGTCACGCTTGTAGCGGCTGTCACGTGCAGTTTTTTGAAGGCAAAATGCAGAAGTACCGTAGGACATGCAAATCTGAAAACACCGGAAACTGTTAGTTGATCGACCCCCTGTGTGGTCTTATGGGTCTGTAATTGCAAACAGCTCTGGTTTAAACTGCCTAAACTCATGGGCTACGAAGAAGCTGTAAATATCCGAGCTTTTGCATGTTGGCGTTTCAAAAGCACGCTTGCGACAGAGCATAAAGGACTGACCGCCGAAAACACTGATGTTGTCAGTAATTGGACATGTTCGCAACAGGAGCGGACACTTGCGACCGATGAAAGGTCACTCGCTCTCCTTCTCCTCTTGTTTCTCCCTGACGCTCTCTCTCTCCGTCCCTCAATCCGGTGCAGTCCAAACATCGTCAAGCTACTCCAGTGAAACCGGCAGCGCCAAGAATCTGTCCTTACTCTTCCTCCTTGCAGGCTTGCCTCCAGGACCTCACATGCTTGCAGTATGCATCGAACTCATGAGCAAAACTCAGAAGACGGCGCCTCTGAGCAGCATTTCTGCAAGCTCTTCCGGAGAAGATGGTGGGCCAGTGTAGAACATACGGTCTCCTGAGCACAATCTGGCACGCAAATTTGTCCCGTCTCGCTCACCAGGTGAGGACACTGGAAGCGTCCTTTCTCATCATAGTCTTTGCGTCTTTCTGGATTGCTCAACACTTCATAAGCGAAGCTGATCTCTTTGAACCTTCCGGATGGCTTGCATCAAATCGGTCGGACCGCTCACGACCCGGCTTCCCTCCAACCCTGGTGGCCGGGTCCTTTCTTGGCTTCCACCTTTGTCTGGATGATGGGTCCAAGCCAAGCTCCTCGCAAGCACTCGCAGAATGCGCTTCCGAACAAACCGGACTTCGGCGGCTCGTTGTAGCTCCTGAAGGCCCTCTTTATCTCTGACTGGCTTGCAGTCTTTGGCAGCTCCAAAGCTGCATACAGGGAGAACTCTGCAGATCGCTTGGACATGGCTCCCAAGCAGTCTGCACTGCATTCACTTCCTTTTGATGCCGGCTAGGCCTATGTAGCACGACAAGGTGCTGACAAGCATATTCGATCTCTCCAGCTTCGGTGCGCAAACGCCGGCGGACCATGGAACTCGGACGAACGACCCTCTCAAACTCCAACGTGCAGCCCAGCAGGACAGCAGGAGCCTGTCACGAGAGGTAGTAGCAGCCTGCAGACTGAGATTGCAGACACTTGTAGCCCAACGACTCGAGACTCGAAGCGCTGGAGCACCTTGTCTGCAGACTCTGCAATCATCTCGGCTGTGCCTCACACAGATGCAAGTTTCGCTCTCTGGGCTATCAGCTCCACATTCTGAAGCCTGCAAGTGAATGTGCGGCACTGGCATAGCACGATATAGCCTTGCATCGGGCAACCTGTCAGCCGAAGGTTCCATGATTTCATACTTCGTATCATGATCTTACAGACATCACCGACGGACCTCTGCAGACTGCGATAGAAAGCGGCAGGCACCGTGGAAACTGTCATGGATCCCCTGGCAGATCAAGTCGACACGAAGGCCACGTGAAGCATTGCCAAGGTTCTGTGTCTGTGCGCGGAAGGAAATCGAAAAGTGACCGAGACGAAGAGCGGCGTGAAACCCCCGGGACAGTGCTTGAGACCCTAGCACAACACTGTTTAAGTAAAATGGCAACAGCGCAAGACCGCCTGAATGTGACGCTTGCTGGTCTGAGCCATACCGGTCGAGTTCACCCAGCGAGATGCCAGCTGCACATCCTGAGCCGATTCTTCTCAGAATGTGCCATAGTAACCAGCTTTGGTCGAAACTCCGAGCAATGCGGCCTGCCAAACATCTTGCGCAGCAGCCACAGATGATGCCTGGCTCGCATCTTAGGCCCTTTACAAGCCTTGAACCAAGGGGCACGCTGCACTATACAGAGCAAGATCGCATCTCACAACTCTGCCAACCTTCGCGGCGCTGGACGCTTTCATCATCCTGCGTGTGATGGCCCAGTCCAAACGTTAACTGTGTTTCAGGACGGCATGTACTCGTGAATCATGTGCTGCTAAGCGCATGTCAAATCAAGTTGCCTGCGACAAAGAATTTGAGCAGCCCCGGCTGTTCGATTTGCAGCAGCATCTGCACCGCTTATCACCTCAATCGCGCAGGAGCAGAGCTGCCTATGTATTGAAATGGGAAATGAAGCGATCAGGAATTGCACGTTTCAGGTAATGACAGAGGCAGCGCAGTGGAGAGCACAACGGGCAGCTGGCGACATATCCGCCTGGCAAATGGGCAGCATGTGCAGCATGTGCTTCAAACTTCTTAAAACTCAAGATTTCAATTGCCATGTCAGCTTCTAGACATCGTCTTCTACCGCATGCAGCGTCAGCTTCGTCATTTGCTGGCATGCTGTTGTCGGGCATCCTCGGCTACTTCGGGTTTCTGTTCGGCTTGGAAATCCTTGTCTCTCGAATGAACGTGCAGGGCTGGAGTAGAGTCGAGGGTTGGCCACTGCGGGGTTTCTGGGTTCTGAGGTCCTTATCGTTCGGTGTAGGTCTTTCCTGCGGACAACTTCAGATGGTGGTCTGGCTTAGGCGTGGCCAGAGTTGTCGCACCCAGGGTCCGACATGCACTTTCGGGTGTGGGCTTCGAATCCTGCCAAGGCTTCCAAGCTTCCTGAGCACCCCAGGCCTGTTGGATCTCCTAACCTTCCTTAACTTCATGGTTTGCAACTCCCTGTATTTACCACTCCTTTGTGTCCTTTCACTTCGCATCTGGGGTGTAACGATTGTGGGATGTACGCTTCCTTTCGTGGTTCAAGGGTTCCGCTTTGTCAAAAAGTCAGTCCTGTTCAAAGATCCTGGCTGCTGTACTTTCGTGGCATACCTTCAGTTTCGGTCATAGCAATCAGCGAAGCATGTGGATGCAAAACAAGCTGTCAGCCACAATGGTAAACTGATCCCAGAAATCATGCCGCAGCATGCCAGAGAAGCTCCTAGACCAAGCAAGATTCAAGTTATCGTGGTGCATCATAGTGAACCCATGTGCCTCCAGGTTGTCACTTGCATGCTTGGCTTCCTGTGCTTGAGCAGAAACACTGACACGCCTGCACGCCCTGCGACTGCCCTCACGAGAAGACAGTGCAGGTAGGTGCTAGGGATGCGACATGTGCGACGCGCAGATTCAGCGTCGCTGCACATGACCTGATCATACCTGGACTCTGCAGTGACATGTTGCTGCGTGCAACCGCCGAACTGCGACAAGTCGCAAAAACTAGGATACGGACCTGAAAAAAGCCAAACACCGAGACCTGAAAAGTCCAAGACTGCCTCTGCGACTGTATGAAAGTTTGCTGTGCCTGCAAGCATAATGTAGCCAATTACAGACTTGCGCTTGCTTGGCATCCTGCACGACAACACAGACAAACTTTGTGGCAACTCAATTAATGACGCACCTGCGCAGCAGCCCCCATTGAGACCAACGATGTTGTGAATCCATGGCTGTTAGCACTTGCCGTATCAACTTGAATACCACGAAAAACATCTTATCAGTCAACATGCACGTCATCACACCACATCCCCTTCGACGCATAACACCGCATCGACAAGCGGACCATTTCTACACAGAACACGTGTTGGCCCGGGCAAAGTGTAAGCTTGAGCCGATGTCCATGCCATGCCCGTTCTCAGAGCTGTCAACCAAATAAGTACTTGCACAAGCGCAACCAGAAGGTGTACGAGCGCCTAAATCGAACAAAGCAGTATGCTCACGACTGGAAACCTAGGGAAAGCCACACATTCTTGCAGCAACACCTACAACGCATGAATGAAACTGGGCAATGGATCGCCACAACAAGCTGTCGTTTCACGGCGGCACGGCCGCCCGTGTCTTGGAACTTACAGCAGATCAACCCCAAGGTTGGCTGAAATTTCGGAAAGTTGGTTGCCTGCAAACCATGGAACTTGAAACCAGCAGACCAACGGATTTTTTTTCAACGACCTTTGAGAAAACTATGTAATTCTTGAGGTTAACAAGATGTCTTTAAAATATGTCTCTCATTCGCGCAGAGCAAATCCACAAGTGAGATTACTCGTCAGCAGCGCTTGCAGCTGTTAACTCAAACCTTTAAACCGGCCCAAACCTTCCTATCCTGCGCCATTGGTCTGGAAAGTGCATATGTGTTCCAGGGAATCAGCGTGTCGCAGTATATGGCCTATAAGCTATTTTGGTGGAAATGATTTTCTGCGATGGGGATAAATGTTTAGGGGCGTATTCATAGGCGAGCTGGGCAAGATACTCATTGGAGCAATCTGCGTCCGAAGGTTCGAGGACTTTGTGGTAAAATGAGCTTTTGACGTTAAAGATTTGCCGTAGAACTTTGAAGCGTAATGTGTTAAGTTTGGTAAGGTGCGACTGTAGATACATTTGTGATTCGGAACCATGGCGCGAGCACAATCGATCTGGGAATGTACCAAGAACTTACGGGGGATTAAAATGGCCGGATGTTTAAAGAAGTCGTGGAGGCATTTTGCCGCGTGCGATGCCTGTGCATAACGTTTCTTGGCGTCGGCTTTGACCGAAGAGTTGTGCGCTAGGACGGATCTCAAGTAGTCCGTGTGAGGTGTGGGATCGATTCGAGTTCTTTGGGGAGGTCGGGGTCTGGTCTGGCCTGACAAAGGTCGCATTGACATGGTGCTGGGAATGTTCAGATAGGTATATAGGGAATCAGAGTTAATGGGCCAAACGCTGGCATTTTTCGTGATTCAAGGACATACCCAGCAAAGGGCATGGGATTGCAATGTGTGCAGAAAACGATGCAAAGACAACCGTGTGCGTGATAGCAAAACGGTGTCGTCTGCATACTTTAAATCGGTGACTTTGAAGTCAGAGGCTAGTAACGGCTAGTACTGTTCGAGCCGCGGCGCGGAAAAGAAAG